TCAGACTTACTTAAACCAATATGCCAACAATATGTCAAATATTCCCTCACCAAAGAATGGTCTCAGTGAAGAAAATAACACAAAATGCCAAACTGTCACATGTTTAGAAATTCAGACTTTTTATCTCTATGTTAAACATAATTTGCTAAATGACACGAATACATGTACCTAAATAATGGGGACCTTAGTATTAATAGTAAAAGTTACTTTTTGTAGGAGGTCCCTTAAAACTTCATGTAGATTTTAAAACTTGGCATTCAAGGTTAAATGTACTTCAACTTTAAATCAGACATTCTGAAATTGTAGTTTTTCCTGGCCTATGAAACTGTCCAAAATATGATATTGTGTGGAGATGCATTCAGTGACATGTACATGCTAACTACATTTATAATATTGGGCAAAGGGTTAAACAGGGGTTTCATTAACGTTTTCAGCAGGAGGGCAACTGCTTTTCACAGGCAGGCAAAACTATTTAAAAAATAGAAAAACTTTCCATTAGATGGGCAAACCAGGAACACCAGGCAAAATCGCCCTCACAGCTGGTCAATTTTCCTGGTGTCCAGCCCTTATTGAAACCCCTGGCCGGTTAAAAGGTTCAGTTTTAAGGCTTTTAAATCAGGGCCACTTTGACCATCCTAAAATAAGTTACCGTACATGTACAAAGTTTGTTGCTAAAAACATTAGTACTACATGTAGGTTTGATTTGGAAGGGAAAAGCAAGAGAGCCATGTGTAAACCTTTCTTTTAACCAGAATTATGATTTCCTTTTTTTGAGAATTTTGATTTTTGTTAAGAATTTTAGATTTGTTAACAGTCATTTAACATTGCTGTTTGGTTTGGTGCACTGTAAATTACATTCCCACTTCTAAACATCTCACTGAATGAGGACATTCAAGCAGTATCTTGTGACACCTGACAGGCTTATTTTACTATGCTACAGTCTATGTACTGTTAACTGTACAGAGTATACACAAGAGTGTTAAAATAATATTATAGATATCAATTATAAGTATTATAGTTTCAGTAGGAAAGCTGTAATATAATTATTTAGCTTTCAAAACAATCAAATTGCCACTGAAAGTAAAATAATGGTCACAGTTGTATTATGGGTTACTTTCAGCAACTGAGATAACTTCTTTTGTTGTAGCAGTTAGATAAAAACAAGGTCCATCCTTTAATCTGCCGTCATTGAGCCATGGAATGCAAATGGTGTAAGCTAGGCCTCAAATTCCAGGGTTTCAAATAACGGCCGGTCAACGGACAATGTCCGGTCAAAAATAGGTTTTGTCCGGTCAAATCCTTATATGGCCGGACAATTTGCCCGGTCGTTTACGCTGGTAAGGAAAAAATTGGGAGTTTCAAGTTTCAAATATTTCAAGGGTCAACATTATTGGCGTTTGTGAAAAAGGAGGGAAAAAAGGCAGATACTTCACTACCAGACCAAGAACTTTTAATAAAAGATTTGTAATAGTCATAAAATTTCAGGCTATCGTTGCAAATTTTTGCACAAATGTGATACTGATTTTGCTATACCGTGCATTCCACTTTTCCTTTGAAATTTACTTGGTTCATATTTAAACATCATGTGAAGGGGGCAGGGGCACTTTTATAGCGATTAGACATAATCGATGTTTGTCCGACCAAAAATGGGATTTGTCCAAGCTAACAATAGGTTTGACTGGACAATTTGACCGGTGCCAGCTGGGAAATTATTTGAAGCCCTGAATTCAATTTTTGAACAAGCAATCTTTGTTTTTATATCGCTGTTCATACATTCCCAACCATGATTCGGGGCTTTAAAAGCAGAGTCAAACCTTGCTTACAACTTAATGTGAAGTCAAATGACAGTTGACGAAGAACTAAAAAATCTCACCTTGTAGCAAAAGCTGAGAGCTATCTATTAAAGGTAAAACAATTTTGATGTGTCTGACTACAATGAAAACCTAGAGAGGTTACTGATATGATTAGATCTACCTCACTCGTACCACAGTGGGGTATAGGTTTCATTCTTAGCTTAGAGGTAGCTTACAGATGTACTGCTACAGCTAAATGCTCAAAACATTTCTGAACTCTTTAAGGCCTAGTGTCAAAATACAAATTGTCCTCACTGATATCCATACATTTTCTTATGGTAATAACTAAGAGAATTTGTTAAAGATTATAGAAATTTCTATTTGGTGATGACGTCCTTGATTCTCACTACCTTCTCTCTTGATTTATGCATTGATACTGTCAGGAGAAATTTGATGCTGGTCACTCTTAGGGCTTAAAAATGATTTCTAGTCTGTACTGCACATTGTCGCAAGTTTGTTTACATTGTTTTGTTTTGATTCATGTAAGA